TAATGGAAGCGACAAACAAGGAAGTTGCTGTTGAATTTGATTATTTTGTCACGTATCTGGGAATTGTTACTATCGACTACTACAAACGTCCCGCCTCGCTCGTAAAAAGCATTGACAAAAATTATATATTCAAAGTCTTTTAAGTGAATTGTACACGTTAATAAAATAAATAGATATTGACATAATTTTTGTGTGATTGCTGAGTTAACTAACTATTATTTATTAATTTTATTTTGTTACATGATATTCTATTGATATTAATGTTTTCGCAGATGTATCAATGATGTGCGAACGGCGGCTGGCAGCAAACTGGTTTCATAGAGAAGATTAAATATCAGTGTCAAGCCAGTTCTAGTACAACGAAGGATTTTTCGTCCATGTGTGTCATTCGCTAGTAGGTGGACATCGCCTTCCAGTTACAATCTTCAAAATGGAGTGTTGGTAGCTATTATTTTTTATATTTGACTGCGCCTTTTGATCGTGCACTTTATAGATTGTCATATTATAGTAATTTCTTAGCAATCATACGTCATTCGGTGCATTGTTACAGAGTTTCTAGTATGATTTATTTTATTTATGTGCTCTTAACTAGTTTATTTGACAAGTATTTACTGACAACATAATTTCGCAATCCATTAAGCGCAACTGCCGCTTAATGGCCTCCATCGTCATTTAGTATTGTTCGGATATTGACTTGCAGGTAATAGGAGAGGGTATTACTGCTGTAATTGTTGGTTAACAGTGTGGAACCTTACATAATGAGTCTAAGTTTGACGATCGTTTGCTCAATCAGGCTTTCATCAAAGAGCTTTTGAACGAGTTGACGTAGTAGGGCCGGAGTGGGGCTACGCAAGTGTCTTCTCTGTTGCACGAATGGCCAGGTCCCGGTAAGTGCCATGACCTCATAGAAGATCGGCGTAAAGAGGAAGTTTCACAGAGTCACTTTAGGATAACATTATCCTGTGTTGTAAGTAGGTTAATAAGTAGGTTAGTAAGTTTTACAAACATAAATTGCACGAGGACAAACACCCAGATGCGAAATAACTATCTGTCAAATAGTTGTCCCGTATGGGAATCGAACCCACTACCCCCGAAGCCGAAACCAATACCTTGGCATCTGCGGCACGGAGTCATCAAAGTGTTATACTTCTGCATTTCGTTTGGTGATTGAGGTAGCCGGGAACCAGTTTATAAAAAGCTGGCAACGCATCTGTAACCCTACGGGTGTTGCAAATGTCTATGGGCGCCGGTTATCACTGACCACAAGGTGAACCGCCAGCTCGTTTACCACCTTTTTACATAAAAAGGTGTCTGCTTTGGAACTAGCCTTCACAGATAGCGCTATAGAGTAGTTTCCACTGTTGCACGAATAGACACTACCGTCTCGTCCGAGACATTAAATAAGACCACGTGAAGTGTAAATATTATACGTTTGCGTCTATTTTGTCTATTGAGTGAGATAGCTGCGGCCCCGTCCTCTAAAAGTACGAAACGTATCTGATATCCTACGCGTGTTGTAACTTCAGATTCGGTGAACTGTCTGCGAATTTACCGACACAGTTCACATAAAAAAGCCTTGCCTTTCAGGCTTAGCAAAAACCAAAAAAAAAATTGCATTAAAAAACGCCAATATATAATAGACGGAAAGACAAGTTAAAATAGCATCTAATTTAATTTTTCAATTATTAAACTTGAATATGATTGAGCCCCTAAAAATCTATATTGCAAATTTAAATTGTTTATAGTGCTAATCTTTGCACTTAAGATTGAACATTAAAATATGTAGAAAAAGTGCGAAAAGATTGTCGCCGCTGTGGGAATCGAACCCACGTCTTCGGCATTCGCGGCCTGACGCTCTAGCCACTGAGCTAAACGGCTGATTACCACACCGACGAAAATCTTAGCGCATTCTTCCACATTGTTTTCTTAGCATTTGCTTCAAATGCTAAGAAAACAATGTGGAAGAATGCGTTAAGATTTTCGCACTTTTCGCACTTTTTCTACATATTTTAATCTATATTGCATCAAATTCGGCGTAAGTATTGCGCCCAAGTAAACTCTTCCCAATACTAATGTCGTTCTTTTTCGAATCAAGTAGATTTATTTGGGCTTGGGGGGATGTCGTACGTATTTATTTGTGGAAGCCGAAGTAGTACGTCAGGGAAGCCGGGGGCGCCCCGGGTGGCTAGGGGTGAAATGGCAAACACAGGAAGCGGATCTGGAAAACTTTTCCGCCGAACCGGCAAAAGGGAGATGTCATGTTTCGCAGTAGGGTGACTAAGATTGCCAATACGCAAGACTATGTTTAATGAAATCGAGACATGTGCTTAAACTTCAAGATTTGTCTATTAAAAATATACTTCTTTTATTGTATTGGCAATATGAGAAGAGCTCTCCTACATCTCATTAGTTAATATAAATAACCATTCCCAAACACCCACTTCGAACAATTTAACAACCTAATAAACCTTACTTTAACAGATTCAAAGTAACCTAGTATCAGTGGAATCGTTTCAAAGTACGGCCGATAAAAATTAAACACCAATAATGATAAAACCTAACACGTTACCTCGTGTGTGTAAATAGAGGCGGCCAATTTCCATACCATCGTATCTATTGGTTGGGCAGTCTGTCTCACAGCTCACAGCAATCGTGTACATCCTACTATCTCGCTCTTGATGTTTATATGCATTAATACGGCTTTACGGCCGCGAGATAAGCATAAATCCAGCGGTAGGCGGAACGCGGTGTTACCACGTCTAACTTTATTGTTGCCCGTGGGTCTATTTACGGGACCTTAAACAAGTGCGATTGGACTCAGAAAAGTTCACGTTACCAATTGGCATGAATGTACGGACAAACACGCATTAGCTCCGCAATATAAATTTACTGTCCCAACGACTGCTTTTTCAATATTATATCTTTAACATACTTGATATTTTTATATTTGTAAGGTAAAGTAAGAGTTTATATTCACTGCCATAACGCAAACACCTATTCTATAGGGAGGGTATTAAGGGATAGAACACCGGACAACCATATTTCACTGCAAATTTTATGTCTCCATACAATTCATATATTCACGGCTGTTTGGTTTATGGGAAATAACACCATAATTGAACATTAGTACGTCAAATATTATCAATCATTTATCATGACTTAAAGCGGGATCCAAAACTTTAAAAAATGCTAGTTGCATCACTGATGGAATAAATAAAAATGTTATGTCCTTTAGCTTAATTTATATTTTTTCATGAGAGTTATCAAAAGAAACCATAGAACCAGCAATAACACATAAAACACATGCTCGCCGCGACGTTTCAAACATTTATTGAAGATATAAGGAAAGCAATTTTGATGGTAGAATGTTACAACAAAACTTTTGAGTAGGCTACATTTTTAGGGAACGCATAGAGGGATGCTCCACTTAAATGGTAGATGGTGCAAATCTAAACAACATAATCGTATTGAAATTTTGTCATATTTTATTTCCGTTTATTATTTCATTTTATTTTATTGATTAGGAAAACAAGCAGCACTTACATAAAAAAATAGTACAATTACACACAGATATGTGGGCCAATAGAGTTTTCACCACTAGCTATTATACACTTTGCATCAGACTATATTATATTATTTAAAAAAAACATACACAGTATATAAACATAAATCGTTAGCACCCTAAAGCATAAACTGTAAAATTTTACATATATTGCAATATTTTACATATATTATAATAATAAATTTTGTTTATTCTGTTTTTTAGTATTAGTTGTTATAGCGGCAACAGAAATACTTCATATGTGAAAATTTCAACTGTCTAACAATCATGGTACATGAGATACAACCTGCTGACAGATGGACAGACAGACAGACAAACAGAGATACCTATAGCGGAGTCTTAGTAATAGGGACCCGTATTACCCGTATTAGGAAATTCAAGCAGAGCAATTTTGCCCTCCGCCTTGTTTGAATCTCCTACACTAAGACGCTACAGAAAGGGAGTCGCGGGTAAAATATGAATTCGGCGCGTCTTGGCAGTTTCGCGCACACGTTACTTGTTTATCCTTTTAAGGGTGAACTCTCATTTTATACAACTGCTATGATTGTTGTGTAATGTACATTACATCAAGGTTCTCCGCCATCCCTCCAGAAATTTGCAAGGAGGCGATGAATAAAGCGCGCGAAGCGTTCCAACGCCGTTGCGTCGATATAAAATCATGATGCAGCTAGAGTTGAAGTTTTGTGCGATGTACATCCAGTTTTGAACTAGTTTGAACAAAAAAATGTTATGTTTACGAATGCAGAAAAGAAAGTATTACTGTGGCGAAGTGCGAGTCGGGCTCGTTCCCGAAGGGTTCCGTACGATCATATATAAAAACGGCAAAAAAATCGTGTCTCCTGTATGGGAGCCCCACTTAATTTTTTTTTTATTCTTATTTTTAGTATTTGTTGTTATACAGGCAACAGAAATACGTCATCTGTGAAAATTTCAACTTACTATCAAGTTTCATGAGATACAGCCTGGTGACAGACGGACAGACAGACGGATAGACAGACAGATAGAGAGACAGACAAACAGACAGATAGGTGGACAGCGAAGTCTGAGTATTAGGGTCCCGTTTTACCCTTTGGGTACGAAACCCTAAAAACAATTAACTAAATAGCTATGTACTGAGCACGAATTTCTGAATATCAGTACCTACTTACCAAAATTGAAATAAAAATTTTCTTTTTAAATTTGAGCTCAATGTATGAATTACCGAAAGATTTTTTCATCACTTCCACGATCTGTAAATGTGTCTCCTGAGTAACGTACTCCCGTGTATTGGACGAAATATCAGAAAATGAAATAAGTTGTGTTAAAAAAAAACTAAACAGAATAAAGCGTAGTTAGTAATGCAAAAGTTAAAAATAAATCTCAAATTGTACAAAATCTTATGCAATCCTGAAAATTCTCAAAACAAGGGATAATAATAAAATAAAAAAATCCTTTGTTAATGCGTCATGCGAGTGGCTTCAACTACTACTACGTAGCCGTGGTACGTATCTTGCACTTAGTAACGTTTTTAACATGACATGATTAATTTTGGGATAAAATGTAACTTATACCACCATTAAAATAAATCCGTTTCTATTTAATAAAGATATGATCACAGCAGATAGAGACAAGTTATTTCTAGACAAAAAATAAATGGGTACGTAAAATCTTTGTTTTCGATTGAACATCAGTAGTTTAACCTAATTATCGATTCTATATGACGCTTTTAGATTGAAAGCAAAATTCAAATGTGAGAAATTGTTTAAAATGAGTTGATAAAATAAATTGTCTTCAATGTAATTGAAATGAACGCCAAATGAATTAAAAGTGCTGTCAAAATAAAGCAAAATTATGCCTATGTTTTGCATGTTTTGGCAGGGTATCAAATTATTTTTGGCTCGCAATGCACTTCATGAATGCAGTCACTGCCGCCATCTAAAATATGTCACAATTACGACCAGCCCGCCTGCCCTACAAATTTACAGTTTCCATCCACAAATATACCTTACTTTATTGAAATATTCTGTGCCAGTTAAATATTTAGTTGAATTGGCACATATATTTCAAGTAGATGAATTGTTTGTAGCCAATTGATTTTGGTCGTTGAAAATTGGTCTATTTTTAAAGCAGATCTACTAACTCACAATGTCGGCCGTGGTTTGCATTCCACCCCGTAGTAAGCAGTGCAGTAAAAAGTCTATTAACTATTATTGATCAAAACTTACAAAAGCTTCGATTAACAATACACTTGTTGGCAGATGCCACCATCTATTGTTCTTAACACCGAGCGGTAACCCTTAAATGGAAAAGGACATAAGCCACCCAGAAATAGCACTGAATTGACTAGAATTATTTTCTATGACAAAACAACAAAACATCATAATAGTCTGTGCCAGTAGAAAGGGCTTTCAGTAGAAGGACGATCGAAAAGAAAATTGCCAACCCTTCATAAAGGTGACCGTTTGCAAACGTCGCCCGCGCAATGTCCTCATCGACCCGGTCGAGGAAGTGGACATAGGTACGTCGGGCCCATCGAGGTCTCTAAACAACATTATACCCTCAGATAGTGCTACCCTACACATAGTCATTTAGTTCGTCCTCGCGTACGAGCACGGCGAAACAAACATAACGCATACACAGGGTACACCCGCGTTCCTGGGCGGTTCTCATCACCCAATCACCGATTAATACATTCAACGGCCACCGGGGTCATCGTCTATACTGAATCTCGATGAAGCATGAGTACATTCGCGTTCCAACCAAACGCGAAGGGCCGTTACAAGCTCGTGGGTTCTGGCTCTTCTAGCCCACGAGTTCTTCGTTCGATAAAGCTTTAACAGTCTACGGCTGAAAGCAAAAATAAGTTAAAGTAAAATATAAAGAAATTTGAGATTATGTTTCAGAGTTCTGGTGATCATTAGAGCAGTGATAACGGTTTAGATCGAAGTTCATAAAATTATTTCTCAGACAAGTTAGATTTTCCGCCGATATGAACGTATGTATAAATGAAAAAGTGACACCTAATCATAGTCGGCTATGTTAACTCAAAGAGAGACACAAATTGTTTAGATGTACTGACAAAACCATATGATACAATTTTTACAATATTAAATAAACTTAATTTATATTCATTAAAAATGTTGACCCAAATTTACATTGCAACAACGTTGCTTCATTTAGTATCATTATTACTGTGAAATATACAATTTTAAGTCGGAAATGAATCAACATCAACGAGCATTCGCAAGCGGGAGCTGAAAGGGGCTTTTAATGAAAACCGCCAATTAAAGAGCCTGAAGCGTTCCCGTCCTACATACATATTACTATAACGACCGACGCTGAAAAAGAAACAGAATTGAAAACAGGCCATTGTTATGTTATACAGAGGCACCACGGGAAAAAGGCAATCTTCGTGGAGGGTTCGCACCGGACGCCTCGAGATGAGGAAATAAGAATTCATCCTTTCTCGCCCCGGGGGGTCGGTGGGGCGCGGGGGAGGTGGGCCGGTGGGGCGAGGGGGGGCAAGACGGACGACGCCATTCCAAAAAGCCATTATACGAGCTCCGGAGCTGTTTTCTATCTCGGGAAGGAACCCGCGCCATCGCCCCTTCCCCCCCCCCCCCCCCCCCCCCCCCGCCTCCCCGCCACACCAACCGTTCGGATTCCCGAGTTTGTTTATGAAAATTGCCCATTAAAATGGCTATGAAAGTAACGCTTTTGCCACTCCCGAAATTAATAAGAAAATTGATATAGATTATTATTTCGGGCGGAGTGAAGGTTTAGCGAGGGAATGATTTGTGATCAGAAAATGTCGATTTTTATTTTTTCTTAATATTTTATATTTTCTTAATGCGTTAAAAAATTTGCAGCGAAATGAATTTATTGTCATCGGGTTTTTATAATTTCATATGAGGGGTCAAATTTAAAGATCTTACAACTGAATAACTATTGTCCATTTATGAAAAACTTTCGATATTATAAATTTCATGGCAAATTAGTAGCCCCAGTCACAATTCATAGGTAAAGCTCCATTCCTCGATATATAAAATAAATGTACTTCAAAATAATTTCATGCAGGCATTCTATGAGTTACTCCACAGATGAGGCAATCCCTTTGTGTGCAGTAAAAACAGCTCCACAGCTCTTGGGCATTTAGCGGAATCATATGTCGGTAAAAATCCGGCAATATTTTAGATATAATTTAAAATGCTCCCAGTGAATGTAATGCAACGTGATGATATTTTACTTACATTTTATCAATTAATTATCTAATATTACATTCCGTCTATACTTCGCGAGGGAAAACTACATGTTCCTTCGATACGGCAGTGTTGATTTAGTTCACAGGCGCATCTTTAGCTGTTATTTATCATCCAAAAATAATTATTCACTATTATAGAATTATATTGAATAAATTATTCACTCGCCTACCATTCATGAACTAGTGCTCATTTCACGACTATGAAATTACGTAATTTGAAAATTCATGGGTTGTAAAGCTTCAGAGCACTATGAAGTATTTCCATAGTAAAATAAAAAAATTCTCAAACTATTCACCGAACTGAAAGTATAAGAGCTCTAAAATCAGCCTCTTTGATACTTAAAATTTAAATATATATCCTATTTTTTCTTTTTTTACTACTATTTCTTCATCGTTCATTATCCAAATAGCAATGCAAATAACTACTCTTATAGATCACTTCAGCAAGGCTTACTTCCCTCACCCTAAGAGATTGACGGCGTCATTACAAATTAAATTAAAAAGCAAAATTATTACACTTGAAGCAAATTTTAAAAACACATTATCTCACCCTCTTTATTGAGAAGTAGCGCTTTCTTCGCTCTATATTTTCTATCCTTGTCTCTTGCGTTGATGTAGCCACGAAAAAAAAAGATGGAGAATACGTAGTCGTCCGTACCTCGATATAAAGAAAGATTATCCGAAGCCCCTAAGGAAGTTTGAAATTGCTATTGTAGCGAAAAGGATTATACGTTAGTGCTACGCCGTAGCGGGTCTACATTGCTGTGTTGCGTACCGGTATCTTATGGCAAACTATTAATAGCATGAGTCAATCATAATTTTAGTCAAAACAATATCTGATATTTATATTTATGAAAAGATAAATATGTAATATCGTCATTTACCAATATTTATTATAAAAGTTTAACATCTTTCTTTCACTTCAAGAGTAATTGAACGTTCCAGAGCTTAAATAAATATACTTTTTTTTGTTTAAAGTTACATATTATTTGCCTGTCTCTTTTCTACAACCGTATGGTGCTTAGCGACACAGCAACGATCTTAGGACTCCCAGGACAAGTTTCAGCACCCTGAAATCAAATCCCAAGTATTGAGTGTACTCTTCCCTCACTAATATATGCCGGATGTAAAGATAATTACTTTGGGTCTGGGTATTGATATTTTATATATATTTATGAAATTCCCGTGTTAATAAAATATTATACCAACATTCATGAAAAACAACATTCATGTTAAATTAGATATGTATAGATAAATAGACCATTTGTTTTAGCTGCGATACGTTATCCTTATTGTTGAAAGTCTTTAAATTCGTGTTAGAGCAACATTTCCTTAAAATACGAGTATGTTACTAACCTATTAAATCATCTTTGATTCATGGCCTAAAATCCATTATATATTATCGGATAAGATTATTTATACAAATGAGCAACCTTTTGTTAATTATACTGTAATGTGCAAACAGTGCATGTACACAGATAAATAAATTATTAATAAAAAATACCGTAACAATGAAATCCAATGGGCTTCCAATTTCGAATTAATCGGGCCAGCGAATTGGAAACGTAATGAAAACAAACATCCGTTGGCAGTTTTAAACGTAAAATAAACAACGCGATATCGCAACGAAGCGCAGGCGGGTGTACCGGGGCGGGATTAATCCGGTTAAATCCGGTTAAAGCCGGGTGTACGGGATCCGGGTGGAACCCAGCCGAACCGGGTGCACGCGGGCGATACGCCCGGACCGCCGTGCGGTGTTAATCCCTATTTTAAATTCTGATAAAAACCTCACCTCACCTGTATTAAGGACCCTAATATGTTTATGTACGTATTAAAACGCAATATAAATGAATCAATACTCATAATCATTTCAGGTACTTAGATGTAATACTCACATGACAACAGGGTACACGAAAACCTAGGTAGGTTAATATTTGATAAACTTATTGAGGAAATTCAAGATATCTTCACGCTACATTGGATAGGAGAGGATGCTAAATGTAAACAGCTGGTTACAAATACCAGAGGACTGGCGAATGCAGAGCAAGAGTCATTTTCAACCATCGTCCTCATACTTCAACTTTATAAAAGGCCCTTTCCATTAGGGTAGCTTTTACAAAATGTTTAAATTGTTTACACTTGTTTGTATGTTTCTTATTTTATTATATAAGTTAATATATCTATTAAGAAACCACTTTCGGATTTTAACAAGTCTAGACTCGGTACATCCAGAGTGTCACTACGGCCCCGACGCAATTTGATATGATTTTGTAAAAAGATTGATATTATTAAATACGTACATACATGATGTTCTCGAGTACGAATAGCGAGGGGCGCGTTAGATTGCCTACATTTAATAAGTAATGCTGACTGATAAATCATGTTAAATATATCCGATTGTGCAAAACATTATTGGGTGATTCTTACTAGCCTACATTGCCATTAAGTTTAGCAAAGCCACGGCTCGCGCACAGGTTGTCGACGTTACTGACAGGCGTCTCTATTTTACCCTATCGTGGTTCAAAGTAACAAAATGTTGAATATAATAACGTTGTAATCTCACAATCGTAAAGTAAATTATACACGAAGACGAAGTCAAACCAAAAACTTAACTAGATTATCGCGACGATAAACTACGGGACACAATAAATTTACATATATCACCATGGCCATTACATTTAAAATTCAGGGGTCTCATGTGCTCATAATCCGGCGTGCATAACGAGATCGAAAATGAAACATAAATCGGCGAGATGGACTATGGGGGCGATTACGGCCATTAACATGGCGCGCAGGTCACGGAGGACCAACGGAGATCCCCGTCCAATCAACGAACCCTTTCGTCCGTCCACCGGTGGCGCTTGACCCCCATTACGGCACTGCAACCTGGATCGCGACAAAGAGGCGCGGGTCAATTTAGATTGGCGTCGGCGTATCACGATTCATGATAGGGCGCCCCTACACGCCCCCGCTTCCAGATGTACGGTAACGGGCGCAACAATACCATAGTCAATAAATACGAATACGCGGCCACGTTCGCCCGCGGCGCGTGCGTTGCGAGTATTCGTATTGTTTATGTCACATTAAATTGTTAGAATGTTGCTCGGTTATTGTCGAAACCGTATTCGGCTGTTTCGCTATGTAACTTACGTGTTCGTGGGCGTAAATTGGTCCGCCCTAACGTTTATCGCTGCTCCACGGTAGTTCGATGCGCTCTTATTATAATTTGATTGTTTACCCGTGTGTGTTTATTTATTTATCAATTGTATTTGTTGTTTCACGTGTAGGGATTAGTACTTTTCGCTTCATTTCAGGTTGTTATGATTCCTTCAATCGTCTAAGTATTTTATATTGCAGTGGCCGGCTTCAATTTGTTAAGCAGGAGAATGGCACCAAAACACATCACAATATTTATTGATTTTAATTATCTAAATTAAATTTAAATAGTTATGTTAATATCCATACATTCCATATTCGTCGTACACATCTTACCTAACAAGTGAAGAAGTACGAACTGTTTTTCTACATACTGTACCTAGAAATCTAAAGTCAAAGGATATATATAAAACTAGCTGTTTCCGCGACTTCGCCGGTAAAATAAAACAAATATTTATATATTATTATTAAATACTTAAAATAAATAAAACTTCTAAAATAAAACTAGCTTAAGTTACTCCTTTTTACATCAGCTATCAATCATAACAAACAGAGAGATAGACAAAAATTGTAAAAAATGTCATTTTGGTATATTTACCGTGTATACATCCATTATGCATTAAGTACAAAGCGGTTATTTTAAATACAGACACTCCAATTTTATCTATCCGTATGTATAGATAAATTCAGTACGAAACGTCCAACAAATAACATATAAGTGATAATATATAAGCCATCATATAACAGGAATGGGTTACTTCAAAAATGAGATGTTTGTCATCTTTTTCTTAGTCCTACGCAACTGTTAATAGCTTTATTGTTTAGATGGAATGGCATGAATGAATTTAGACGTTTCAAGTCATTATTAAATGGTGGCCCATCGCGTGACCGACGGAAGTATATCCCGGCGGCGCGTGCAGCGTACTAAGTTTTTGAAGGTCCATTAAATAAAGCCATAAACGATGCAAGGATTGTATGACTTAATTTATGATATCATGTGGAATGATACATACTTCGTTTAATTACGTACTTTATTCGTGTAATTACGTCAAATTTTATTTAATGATAACGCTATTTTTCATCAACCACAATACATGATAAACATACTAAACGTCGCCACTACTATTATTAAAATAGCCAACAAGAAAAACAAACCAAATTAATAAATTCGGTTACATTTTTAAGCTTAGGTCTAAGGGGAATTTAATTCATCTTAAACATTCGATATCAACACATACATTTCGAAAATTTTGGCATCACCATTAAAGACGATTGACTAAATTAAA